GGCGGCTGTTCAAAAATTTTGCGACACGCTTGATCTGGATCTGATTGTCCGTGCACATCAGGTAACTCTTTATCCAATTTACTCATACTCTTCTTCATCTGAAATCCACTGTCATTATGGTCGATGGAGTCAGGATGTGATCGCATTCCATTATCACTAATGAAATTCGCAGTTGAAGTAATTTAGGTAATTTTTAATTTTTTTAATTTTTCGATTTTTGGGTAATTTTTTTTGAGGTAATGCAAGATGGCTATGAGAGATTTGGCAACCAACTTATAACGATATTCTCGGCACCCAATTATTTTATGAGCAATACTGCAGCAGTGCTTCACGTATCACCACATTTGGTGCTTTTTTTATTATTTCTTAACTTAAAAATTTAATATGAAAGGCACTTTTCACAAACATCCAAAATAGTTTGACTGCACGAAACATAAAAAAAACGTCCATACGAGGAAAGGATGTGGGACGCGAGGGGAGGAAGCTATAAAAAAGAAAAATCGTACACATTAAAATGAAGGGAGCTCAGAACACGTCACAAGAGCACGTTTTTCTTGATAACTTCGGGACTCTATACTAATAATCTAGGGTCTAATTGTCCTAGCAACCTGACATCTTATTAAGTAATAAAGTAACATCTTAAGTAATTAAGTAATATTTTAAATAACATTTATTTCTTAGTGCCCTTGGATTTAGTTAAGTACTGCAAACAAATAATTATGAAATTTGAAATGCATTTCTAATTCTATGGTTTGAAATTCGCATTTCCAGAAATGCACAATATCTTTGCATCGTCCAGAATATGATAAAAAGAAGAAAAAGAGAAATACGAAGGAAAATGTACAGAAAAAAACAAAGGAAAAATAAAACGTAGCTTTCACTATGCGATATTGTTATTATTGCGATATGTGACGGTCAACTGGAATCCTGCTCTTTTTTTTAGCTTTTCTTGTGTAAAGGATATAAGAAATCCAGAAATCTACTCCCGTGCATCAGAAAATCCTGGGCCTCTAGAGCTTAAAAGATTGCGACATATCAATAAGTTATATGTTGTCAATGTTTGTTGATACTGTTTTATGTTTTTTTTAATTATGTATATTTCGATAAAGTGATATTTAACTTTGGAAAGCTGTCGTCTGACCGTTTATGCTAACGTCGCTGTTAGCTGATACTCTTTTGATTTCCGTTTCTACGTGCACGCAGATTTCTATGTTTGCGGCTAAGAGATGAAACACAATCTGCTTTTTTGATTACTCACTCATTATAAAACTTGTAAATCCAATCCCTGCCTTCTGATGCTCCTGTAATTGATGTAACCGAAGTTGTATCATCGGATCGCCAGATTTCCCGTAATTCTGGCGCACTTCTGCTCTGACACATTAATATATTTGTGTGGTCAGGGAAACGCGTTAGAGGAAGCAGGGTCTCGATTTTTCTCCCCCTTTCAAAAGGGACAGGGAAGGGGTTGAAATTTTCAATGAAAGCCAGGATCGCCGGCAATTCGAAAACCGAGCAATGCAGCAACAGTCACAGCAACTGTTGCAAACGGATCCCTTCTCAGAAATTGTCCT